TGTGTATTTTGGATGGCATTCCACAAAATTTGCAGGCGATTGAGGAAACAACAGAGATTACAGAAATAAATTGAAAATAACACTTTAAAACAGCATTATATGTTACTTTTTCAAACATGTCCTTCAAATCCTCCAATTTAATAACTGTTGGTAAGCTTCAAATATGCGGACATAGTGCACACACAATTCATTTTTTAAGGTTGTCCACCCATAAAGTATCGTAGTTTATCTATATTTTCATTTTTTTTTTCTGTATAAGTTGTAGTAATGGTATCACTCGAGCGAAATTTCGCTCGAGTACTCAATTATTGAAATATCCGACATCGCTCGATTATGAACGAGCGATGCAAGTGACGAGTACCAAGCGACGAAAGCAAGCGATCCTAGAATGAAATAAATTGAAATCCGATTTTAATGCGACATACTCGATAAAAAGCCGAGCGAATTTTCTACATACATGCAGGTAGCAAATTTATACATATATATTTATACAAATTTATAAATTTATATATATATATATATATATATATATATATATATATATATATATATATATATATATATATATATATATATATATATATATATATATATATATATATATATATATATATATATATATATATATATATATATATATATTTATCCGTTGCGTATCTGAGAGACAAAATTTTACGACCTACATCGGCAATGCTTTGAAATAATTGAAATAAACTAAATTAAGCGATCAAGCGAATCGCTCGCCGCTTGCTACTTGCCATTTATCACCGAAAGAATATGTGTCCTGCGCATGCAACTTACTGCTTGGCGCTTGGAGTTAACGAGTACTTACAACAACCGCTGGTGAAAAACCGTATTTTTAAATACGAGTGATATTTCGCTTGAGCGATCACTCGGTTATTGCAATCGCTTGAAACTCGAGTACTCGATTATTGAAATTAATCGGTTTTTCCCATCACTAATAAGTTGCTAATAACTTCTATGGTCTAACTCTACAATAGGTTTGAATGAAATCCTAATTATTACAATTATAGAAAAGTTATAGTTAAGTATAATTATGAAATAAGTTTATTGTGATACTAAGCAGTATTTTAAAAAACTTCCAGTGTTTTAAGTGTAGGATGTTTTTTTAGATAATTATTTTACTTTTGTTTGTAACTACTTAAGGCTTGATTTTTATCTAATAAAATACATGCCTAATGACCTATAAATTATATATTATTTTTTTCCATTATATGTATATACTTTCAATTTCAATCGTTTTTATTTATAATTAAGTAAAAATGTTTTCTGTGTTAATTAACTAATAAGCCTACACTTTTTTTATATTTAATAAAATTACTTAATTATTGAATAGTTTATTATTAAATAATACATTAAAATAGATCAAGTAGGATAATTATATTCATGACAAGTTTTTAGATTGAAACAAAGGAAACTTTTATAATTTTCAATGTAACAGACTTTATAAGAAAAGAAAAACAATAAAATACATTCTAATTAAATTAATGAGTTGTAATTAAGGTTTTCGTGATATATGTATGTATAAAGGTATGTACAGGGTGTCCCATTTTAGTTGAAATCATACGGTATCTCCGTTATTAGTGAAGATAGAAAGTTGCGGTTTGTACCAACCTGTCCCACTTTTTTGTCAAACGGAAGATGCTGTAAACAAAATTTTCAAGCCCTCTTCGTTTCTGAGCTACAGAGTGTTTTCGAAAATTTTGCAATTCTAAACTAAAACTAGTTTTAGTGAACACTAATCGACATTTGATTTCGGAAAATCGACTATACATAATATATCATACTTTACGCAAAATTGTAAAATTTCCAGGGATTTTGTGCCTTAACGGTTGACTTTAGCGAAAATGTTCATAAAACCTTTTTTATAGAAAATTTTATTCTCTTTAATTTTGTTCTCCTCAAATTTTTACGAAAAACGCATAGTTTTAGAGATATTTACAAAATACCGATTTTGAGCGCCATCTTGGCAAGATGGCGGCGCCGGCGGCAAGTCTGGAAATGTGCATTTTATGGATTTTAGTTAGGGACGCCAAAACCTATAAACCTGCAAAGTTTCAAAACTTCCGGACTTTTTTCCAAGCAGGCCCCTTTTTTGATCCGCAATGACTGAACTAATCGTGGATGATATCGAGAAGGTGAAAATCGATTCTTGTAGGACTTTTTACGTAGAATACAGTGGCGTAGTCTGTTCTTTTACGAAAAAAATATTTTTGAAAATATGGACTAAAGTTATGTTTTTTCGAATGGAACACCCTGTATATTTATAAATCATATGATCTGTTTTACTATGAGTTTCTCTTGTTTCGTTAAAGCTTCTATTATTGTCTTAGTTATATCAAGTCGAAAGTTTCGCGAAGTGTATAAAGGCTAGTGGAAATAATTATTGTCGTATATAGAGTCAGAAAAAAAAAACATTATAATTATTAATATATTTCGACTTATATATTACTCCTAAATATCTTCCGAAATAATCGGATTTTTTGTTGTAAATCATCTTTGTATCTCTTCTGGTTTACGAAAACCCTGTAGTGTGTATTATTATACGGGACACCGTGTATATAAATGTAAGCAAATATGGAGGTATTTTACAACTAAATGGTAAATCACAGATTTTACAAACGTGGCAAGTTTAGAAAAAAAGTAAACAAAATTACCAGGCTATGGAGAAATTGCATCAGGCGCAACTTTACATTAAACATTTCTTGTTGACTAGTCACAAATATCCATTTAATTTTCAGCCTGTACACATAGGGATGCAAACGATACATCGATGCTTCTAAAACATCGATATTTCAATAGCAAAACATCGACGTTTACCAACGATGTTCTATTATAATTAATAATATTGACGATCAACTCTGTAACCATAAATTTCGAATTGATGGTTACTGAGATGATCTTTTAATTCTGCTTGACTATCGGATAAAATGGCTATTTCTTGTTTCCGATAGTTCCTATCTAATGGTGCGTTTAGACTTGAGCACGCACGCACTGATCCTCCGCGAATGCTCAAGTGTAAACGGCTGTGCGCGCACGCTCACTCTGAATCTGTCTGTGCGCGAGCAGCCGCGAACGTGAGCCGTCTGGTGTCGGTTTATGATTTTTATGTGTGCGCGAACGCTCAGTTTGCACCGGCAATTTGTCAATATTCACAGTCGGGCCTGGTCATTCTTGTAAAGTTTTTGAACTGATCATAGCCCTCCTCAGACACAAAGTTGTTGCAGTAAATTATATCGATTTCTAAAAATTTGGGTTTGCCACCAGCGACGATGTTTTCGATTTTTCTCCTTTTTAATAATTAAGCTGTGCAGAACAATGACTGCAGCCTCGACTATTTCTTGGTCGTCCATTATTTTCGCCAACACAACTCTGCTGTGCGCGCACAAATGGATCACTTCATTCGTCGAAAAATAAGTTTTTAATTTGAACGGAGTCGAGAGAGCGCCAACGAATGCCGTGCGCGCACGCTCAGCTCGTGCACCATAAGTTGTACGCATTTTTCGATAGCGTGAATGAGGCTGGGGTAGGTGTCCATTGGTTCGGAGTATTTAGTTTTCTGTCCAAATACTCCTATCCCTGTTCTTGATTTTACAATGTTGCTGTTTTGTTAACTATTTCAACTATTGTTGAACGCACCGTATTCACTGTATCGATGTTAGAGGTGTGTAGTTCCTGAAGGAACTAGTTCCAATAAGCTATAGCGACCCCGGAACGAAAGGAACTAGTTCCCGGGTTCTCTCGTAGTATGTTATCAGTTAAATTACATTATACAGAGTGAGTCTTAAATAAGTGCATATATTTTCAGGGCTGGTAGATCTCTATAAAAGAAAAATATTTTCTCTTTACCATTTTTCAGATAACTCCAAAATAACCTAGTTATTTAAGTTCGAAAATTTTTTAAAAAATGTATTTTTTTTTAAATAATTTTGAGAGCCATCGGATTTTTTGTATTTGCATCCCTTTTATTGCCGTAACCATAGAGTAAAGCCGTAACTATGGTTAACTAATAATCAGAGATTAAGAAATTATACCGTGGGGGGAAAATTTGCGGTGAACAGGCAGTTCTAAAAAGTTTTCGAAAAATATACAGGAAAATTTAAAAGAAAATGCACGATTTCTTTTTTTAGCGAAAAAAACCTCATAGACGTGTTCCTGGGGTCGAAATATACTACTCCTGAAAATATTCGCACTTATTTAAGACATATATACTGTATATTAAAAATTACAATAAAAAATTGTAATTTATATTTAACATATAATTTAATTTTAATAGCCTATTTTGTCACAATAAAAAAAAGTTTATATCAATTAATACTCGATCGAACGTTTATAAAAATAAAAGGATTATTGATGTTATTATAAATTATTATGTATTTTACATACCAATAAACTGAAAAAAAGTACAAAACAATTCGAATCTTTCCGGGGATTTTGAAAACGAAAAAAACTGCCATTTTTGTTGTCGCAATTAGGAACGCTACAGTTCTTTTTCGCAGGTTTGCGTTTTCGGTCGAAAAAAGCCATTGCTATTAAATATGAACACCTAATTAAAATAAAATGTACTTGGTAAAATAAGTACAAATACACCAGTAATTAATGAGGAAATTGCCAAAATCACACACCGAATATTCACAAAACACAACGAAATAAAACTACTGACATATTTAAAAAACAAATGAATATTTGTTAACTTTTTAATGACCAACAGCGCCCCTAGTATTTGTTCGCACAGTATATCTTTTACTTCCAGTCATTGCCATTACAGAAAATATTCTAAAGGGGGATATTTTGTGCTTACAATGAAACCCATGAGCAAGTAACGGTGTTGTCAATGCTAGTCAGGAACTAATGTGAACTAAAGACCTAGTTCAAGGAACTATTCCTCTGGAGGAACTAGAACTAAGGAACTAGTTCCTTCCAAGGAACTGGAATTCCTAACTCTAATCGATGTAACGATATTCATACATCGATGTGCGCATCCCTAAGAACATAGGACATTCGTTTAGACAGTGCAGCGAAAAGTATCATTAGTCTTATAAGTACCACAATTATTTTATCTTGTTTATTGATACAGTCGATAAATCTTAGACCGATTTAAATATTTAGGGATTTACTTAACCTTCGGGCTTCAGTGTAGGGTAATAAGTCTGTAAAAAGGTATGTCCAGTAAGCAGTCACGGTCGGTACCCACGCGCGAGTGTCAGTTTGAAAAAATGGAAGAAATTGAAGAGCAAAAAGTCAAACTAAATATAGGTAAGTTATTTATAACTATGTTGATTCCATATCAAGTTATTTCAATATAAAATTTATGCGATACATACCTTAAATTTGATATCAAATATGTAGTTGTGAACGTAAATAAATAACTACACTTATAAAAGTATGTCCAATGCTTTTAATAAAAAGATAAGGAAAGAGTATAATGCTATTCACGTAATTAGAGACGGAACCGACATCATGAACCCCCATTTTTGACAGTTCTGTTTGACGTTTCAATTTTCAATTGACACATTTGAATTTGATTTGAAATTTTGCGGATTTCTTTTCTGAGATTATGTTATTTATTATTCTATAAATGGTTATATTCAGAGGTAGTAAATTTATCTAGAAAGATATAAGTATAAATACCGTATGATCGAAAAAAAAACGGCGCTCAGTTGACTTGGAAATGACGATCGGTGACATTCCCCCATATAATTTTCCATATAAAATGACAGCGATCGTCATTTCATAGCCATCGCTGACGCCGTTTTTTTCGGTCGTATGGTATCTAGAAAGATATTATAGCGGATCTTAAATTAACAGTTATATTACTGCGAATTCCAAAAAAAACTAAAACAGTTAGTGGTACAGCGTGCTATTTCGTTTAAAAATCGACATAGATAATAAGGGGACAAACTTTATTACAATGGTGATTAGTTGTTCAGCTTTCAAGTGTAAAAGCAGCAGCGATAAGAAAGAGCCAGGAGTTACGTTTCATAGGTAAATAAACAGTCCACTCCAACTTTTTAGCGTTTTCTTATTGAATTCCGATAATTATTCCTCAATTTCAATTAACATCTATATGTACTTGATATGTGCTATACGTCGATACTAGTTTTGTACCTTTTATTAACATTTTAATACGTTTTTTTTCGTAATTAATTAGTATGATACACCATAGGCGTAGTCAAAACAATTATCAAAAAATATAAATATTGCTTCAAACAGCTAGGTTAAGAAAAATATGTGCCACGGCACTGTTTGGTGACATCGGCACAATTTGCTCTGGGGTGTTATTTGTTCTTGGATTCTTTAGTCATTGAAACCAACCGATTATTATATTGTGTGTTGTTATTATATAATTATAAAACTCGCTTAGAATTAACATATGTAATTAACAAATATATTTTTTAACAACATTAATAAACAATATCATCACTTAGGTACATTAAAAAATGTATAATTGAAACTGCATTAGAATTTTTTAAGCTGTCAAAGTCAAAGCCTTGGTTTGTTAAAAAAAGTCAAAAACTTGTATCTGTAGCTCCTATAATAAAAAGTCACGAATTTTGTTTAAGTGCAAACCTAAAGTATGTATTAGGATGTTTTTAGGAAAATATTTTAACTTCTACAGGGTTTTCAGGGTACAGGGTACAAAAAATCATCCTCGTACATCTCTTAGGTTTGCGCAAGTTTTTTTTTATTCTAGGAACTACAGATGCTGGACCCTGCATACGGCTAGGTTTAGAACTAATCAGTAATTTTGTTAACTAACGGCGCTATATCAACAATTATTTTTGGCCCAGCATCACAGGTTGCTTCACATTACCCCCAGAATTCCTGGAGGAGCTTATTAACAAAATCAAGAATAATTCTAATTGTGACAGTGTTAGTCATCGCAGTCATCATATGTGGCACATGTAAGTATGTTATAAGTTATAAGTAGTTTCTCGAAAAATTGCAAAATACCGGAAGAATCCTAGAGCCTAATTTAACTAGAAACCAAATTTAAGAACTAGTTGATTAAAAAGAAATACCGGGTGCGTCTTAAAAGTGGCTCACCCCTATAACTTTTTTATTTCTTCAGATAAAAAAACGAGATTTGGTATGTTAGTATACGACATAAATTAGGATTGATGACGGATTCAATTGTTTTCAGTCACTTCCTGTTTCACCGGAAATGACTACAACCAGTGCCGGATTAAGGTCCTAGGGGGCCCGGGGCTATGGGCTAGCCTCGGGGCCCCCAGGACGCATTAAGACACAAAGGGGCTTGGAGCAAAATAATGGGGGGCCCTCACCCTCAAATTTTGTTATGAACAAAAAAGCGTAATTTGGTAGTAGGTATACACTCACTCAGGTAATAAAAAGCGAGTAAAAATCAACACCAAAATTATAATGAAAAATACTTTTTTTCGAGCTTTCAAAGTAGGAAATTCTTCAATAAGTTTTTGGGCATTTTAGTTCGTACTATGTTCATAGAAAGAAGTTTTTGGAAAATAAAAAATCTTTTTAAACTCAAATTTGCCGTTTTACAAATTTTGTCATTATGAGAATAAAAAGTTGTCTGTTGCACTATATTTAATGTGTGCAGGTGTTCCGGGCTGGATTTTTCTTTTTTGTTGTTTTTAAAATACAGTTTTAATTACTTTTTTATAATTGTTAATAAATTCAAGATTTATGATGATTTATAACAATATGTGATGAGAAATCGGTAGTTTTTGTTACAAATCGGTATTTTTCATTGTACATTTTCATTTAACTAATCTCGATTTTAAATTCTCCTGATTCGGGGGCCCCTCTCAATGACGGGGCCTGGGGCTATAGCCCCCATAGCCCCCCCCCTTAATCCAGGCCTGACTACAACTTTTGATTTTTAAATGGCACCCTCGGTATTTGTTTACTTTATTCGATAGAAAATGACACTCTAAAGTTTGATTTTCATGCGTCCGTTATCCGTTGATACCAGGGGTGGATGGGCCATATGGGAAAACGGGAAAATTCCCGGTGGGCCGGTGGAAAAATGAACCGGTGGGCCGGTGGAAAAATGAACCGGTGGGCCGGTGGAAAAATGAACCGGTGGGCCGGTGGAAAAATGAGCCAGTGGGCCGGTCGATCAGAAGCTCAAAAAAGATTGGATTAGCAAAATTAAATGGTTAATCTTCTAACTAAAAGTGACGTAAGATCCTTAGTGACTCCATTAACTAACTTATCAATTTTCATCAGTATAATCGTCAGTTGCTTTTAAACATAAACACCAAATTGTAAAATAACTATTGTAAAATGTCTTTCTCTGGTACACATTTTAATTTTAATAATCATCTGTTGTTTTGTTCGGTTTTGAAAATGTTATACTACAAAGTGAGTCTATAAGGGAACAAATATTTTCAGGGCTGGTAGATCTCAATAAAATAAACATAATATATTCTCTTTATCGAGTTTCAAATAAGTCCAATCAAGTTATTAAAGTTTGTGAAATTAAAAAAATATACCCTTTGTATTTGTTTTTTTTAAATTTGTGTGAAATTCCGTGGGAAAATTTGCGGTGAACAGGAGTTCTAAAAAGTTTTCTAAAATATACAGAAAAATTTAAAAGAAAATGCTCGATTTTTAACACCTTTTTTTGCAAAGAAACTCAATGGCGTGTTCCTGAGGTCGAAATATACCACCCCTGAAAATAGTTGCACTTATTTAACACTCACCCTGTATAGTTTTACCCAATATTCTTTTATTAATTACTAATAAATATGACTGACTGGCAGCAAAAAAAATAATGAATAGCATTAGGTAAATTTAAATAGTCTCGATCTAAATATATACTAAGAATACGTAGCGTAGATTGACAACTGGGGGCCTGAGTGCAATATTTTTCGAACTCCCCTTTGTAAGAAGGTAGACGAATTTGACGCGAACTCTGCGGTTGGCGGAGAAAACATATCTATGCTTGGCTTGAACTGGGGACGGAACTAAAAGCCAAGTTTAAATTGTTGTTTAAAATGTTGCTACAATGAATCTGCTAAAAATTACTGAGACAGCATTGAAGAGTTAAATAACGTGTAAACTAGATTAGATAATAAAATATTAATGTCTCGAAAATTCAAATATTCGTATTATGAACTGTAACATAACATTACATCAGAACACATTTATATCCCCTGCCTAGGTATTGCCTAGGTTCTTCTCGTTTCATGTCATTATCATACAAGATGGCAAAAGTACAAAAGTATAGAGGAAAACTTTCGTTATAAGAACTATATAATAAACGAAAAAATGCTCCAGTTTTAATGGCGACCGCGGTTCATTCAGTTAAAAACACATGTACACGAGGAGGCTGCTGCTGCAGCAAAAAGAGAGAATTTCTTTCTACAATGCAGCTGAACTGAATGAATCAGGAAGTCTTAAAGTTTCTCAAAATCGTGACTCAGAATCGTAGCCTATTCAAGATCAAATTACCGTTATCGATAATGGAAATAAAGCAGTAGAACCATAGACTTAAAATAAAATATAGACTGAGCATCTCATTCATAAATAGCTGGAACATGCAGTCAGACAACGTCTTGTTATTGTTGTGTTATTGTTTTAGGTTATAACGAGTGCGACACGAGCGATAGATAGGTTGTCTCTGTCATAACGGTCGTTCCCTGACGACTCTGCCGAGAAACACAACACTGTCTTTCGTTTCTCAAGTACACCTGAACTCTCCGTATCATAGCCGGGTAATTTTTTTATTTTAATGAAGCTATAATTAAATTAAAAATATATCGTATTTAAACTTTTTTATATTTTATTAAGATTTTTTAAATAAAAGTTTAGAAAAAACAATTTAGAGTCCAAAAAGGATAAAAATAATAAAATACACGTTATAGAAGAAATTTTATCATCGAAATTAGGTAATTTTTGAAATTAATAATAAATTATTAATTTTAGTCAAACATTTACAACCCCTAATATTAATCAAAACAGGATCTATTCCACAGATATAATAGAATCGGCAACAGGGAGAGAAAAAAAATATGATTGTTGTAATTTTTTTTCTGGTTAAGTGATGTCTTATTATGTAAATTAGAGAAAACATAAATCTGTTCCATTAAAGCAAGGAAGGTGATAGGAAGTGGATAAAATAAAAACTACATTTATAACTCGGTACTGTCTTTATTATACCGGGTGCGTCTCAAAAGTGGCTCATCCCCATAATTTTTTTATATTTTCAAATAAAAAAAACAAGATTTAGTATGTTAGTATATGAAATAAATTAGGATTGATTGACGCATTCAATTGTTTTTGGTCACTTCCTGTTTCACCGGAAATGACTATAACTTTTAATTTTTAAACGGCACCCTCGGTAATTTCTACTTTATTCGATACAAAATGATAACAATTTAATTTTTAATAATAATATTGATTTCTGAATAGAATGACATAGCATAATATGTCAACTTTTGACATTTTCGCATATGGTTTAATTGTAATTGTAACACGCGGTTCATAACGACAATTTGACTCGAAATACCAAGTGTGTGGTATCAATATATTCATAAAAAAATGCTTTTTCCAAATATGCTAATGAGTCACCCTTGTTCCATTTGAAAAAATTGACATATGTATGATTAAAAATACGATTTGTACATCTTTTAACCGGCCTACACAAGACACGAAACCCATTAGACGATCAAAACTATTTTTCCAAGGTTCCTTGATTAAAACTTAGTGTTTTTAACAACACCATGACACCCTGGATTGAAATTTAAAATACGATTTGTTTTTAAGCGACAATGTCAAAAGTTGACATATGATATGTCATCCTATTCAGAGTGTCATTTTTTATCGAATAAAGTAGCAATATACCGAGGGTGCCTTTAAAAATCAAAAGATGTAATCATTTCGGTGAAACAGGAAGAGACCAAAAACAATTAAATATGTCAATAAATCCTAATTTATGTCATATACCTACTAACATACAAATCTTTTTTTTTATCTGAAAAAATAAAAAAGTTATTAGGGGTGAGCCACTTTTGAGACGATCCGGTATATTAAGAAATATTGTTTCATAATGTAATATCATTTTAAAATTCTTGTATGTTATTTTAGATTCTGAAGATAATTTTAGAATAAACCGGAATATATTTTTAATAAAAACATTATTAATTATTAACAGGGAATTAATTATGATTTTGTTACAATGTAAGTAAGTAAATAATGTAATGTAAGAGAAAAAATTCAGATTTTACATTTTACTAAAATATTATCTAAATAAGCGCCTTTCTACAACAACGCCACTGACTCCTAATAGGTAAATTGAGAGTTGCCTACCGGTCGAAAGTCGTTTCAAGACTTAAATGGATTATTTAAGTCAAATTTTTTGAAAATTTGGCACTGTCGAACCATATTTTATAGTTCTTGAACAGAAAAAGTCAATAAAATAAACACTTAAGGACTATCAGCTAAGAAAATGCGTTAATACAGCCGGGGAGATAGCGGCAACAAAGGTTTACCACACACGTGCGACACGTACTACAAGGTAATAAAAGAATGAAATGAATAGGCTCCCTCGCCTCTAATCGGTGTTGTCATATTGTAAAGGACTTATCCTTATTAAACAGTATCCGACTTATAATTTAGTAGTATAAGGACTATTTAATACATCTATGGAATATTAAAACCTACTTTATTAAACTGTAGTATTAATATCTCAATATATGTGTATAACAAGAAAAAAAATATTGATAATATTAAAGACGTGACAACATAGGCTGGATGAGGAAGGCTCGGTCGACTGTACCCAAAAGTAAACATGTGTGCAAAAAAGGTTGTTTGTCCGCGTTGAGATGTAAATAGTGTAGTCTATATTTTATTTTAAGTCTATGAGTAGAACCCTGTAAAACTGAGCCATTTTGTAGTAAAAATTCAGATGTCCGACCCAATATTGGTCTTTACGAAAATTTTGATCAAGACAATTTAATTTTTTTTTAAAACCGGAGGCAAAATAGCTTTTTCGCACGAGCAAAAAATACCCTTACTTATTTACAGGTCGTCCTAGAAATAAGTGCAAGTATTTTAAGGAGTGGTAGATCTCGATAAATGAAACATATTTTCTCTTCATCGTTTTTCAAATCAGTCCAAAATAACGCAGTTATTTTACTTTGAAAATTTCCAAAAAATATATTTTTTTGCTCAAATTTTGAGAACCACTGGATCTTTTCTGAATTTTCTTTCTTGTAAATTTAATCTACTACCTACATATGTTGCCATATCATCAAGAAATTATGTTTTTTTTTTATTTTTATTTATTTATGTTTTTAACTAAAAACTAAAAAAAAATGCAAAACATTTTTCAAAAAATTCCGGATTTTCAAAAGTTTTTTTGCGAAAAAACCCTCATAGGCGTGTTTCTGGGGTTCAACTATACTACCAGTTAAAATACTTGCACTTATTTCTGGGTCACCTTGTATTAATAAATAAAATGTTTCTTCGTTATGGTTATTTTGTTTTTGTGGATTTGGGCCGGTTGTCTGTTTTTCCCGGGGCGGTTTCCACTTTCCCATCCACCCCTGGTTGATACGATGGTCCGATATTAACTTTATTGGTTGAATTTAAAGGCTTCCATTGGTTAGAGACGTGACTCTAACTTCGTTAACCAATCGAAGCTTTTAAATTCAACCAATAAAATTAATATCGTATCATCGTATCGTCGGACAACGGATGCATGAAAATCAAGCTTTAATCGAATGACATATCATGAATGTCATATCATCAACTTTTGACCTATTCGCTCAATAACAAATTGTATTTTAAATTTCAATCTAGAGTGCCATGGCTGTGTTAAAAACACTAATTTTTAATCAAGGAGCCTTGGAAAAATAGATTTGATCGTCTAATGTTTTTAGGACCTTGTCTTGGTCGGTTCAAAGATGCCCAAATCGTATTTTTAATCATATCTCAATTTTTTCAAATGGAACGAGGGTGGCTCATTAGCTTATTTGGAAAAAGCATTTTTTTACGAATAATTGGATACATACATACATACATTTGGTAATTCGAGTCAAATTGTCGTTACGAACAGCATGTTATAATTTCAAATAAATCATATGCGAATATGTCAAAAGTTGACATATGATATGTTATTTGATTCAGAGTGTCATTTTCTATCGAATAAAGTAAAAAAATACCAAGGGTGCCATTTAAAAATCAAAAGTTGTAGTCATTTCCGGTGAAACAGGAAGTGACCGATAATAATTGAATACGTCAATTAATCCTAATTTATGTCATATACTAACATACCAAATCTCGTTGTTTAATCTGAAAAAATAAAAAAGTTATAGGGGTGAGCCACTTTTGAGACGCACACGGTATGCTATTAATATTGATTAAATTATATTTTATCCTCTTAGTATATACAGGGTGAGTCTTAAATAAGTGCAAATATATTTTCAGGGCTGGTAAATATCTATAAAAGAAACATATTTTCTCTTTGTCGTTTTTCAAATAAATTCAAAATAACCGAGTATTTTACTTTCAAAATTTAAGAAAAAAGATATTTTTTGGTTAAATTTTGAGAACCACTGGATCTTTTCTAGGTTTTCTTTCTTGTAAATTTAATCTACTACCTATGCCATATTATCAAGAAATTATGTTTTTAACTGAAAACTAAAAAAATTTCCATCAAATGTTTTCAAAAAATTCCAAATTTTCAAATATATCGTCGAAATCTAGCTAGGTCGAAATATACTACCCCTAAAAATATTTGCACTTATTTAAAACGCACCCTGTATAATGCCTATTTAATTTTTAAAGTGAAACTTCTATTGCTTTCGATCAAATCGGTGTGATAAAGCTGAGCGAGGTTGTAAAATGTTGTTCCGGAAGAGATCTATTGAGTGTTATTGCATGCACCCAACAACCACGCAATTGTTATCCTTTTCGATGCTATCATTTGAAATTGTCACAACATAACGAGTCGCCCAATTTAGGTTCTTTTTCACTTAATTGTAACTAAAAACTTAAAAACTTTTTAACTAAAGTCAGATATGTACTAAAGTCATGTATGTTTAAATGGAATATTGTATATTTTTAGTTCAGTGGATTTGTCATTAAATTTCCATTCCAAAAATATTATAACGTCATTACTATACCGGGTGCTTCTTGAAATATAACCATTTTTTAAACTAAATTTACTGCTTATTTAATGCGCTCCCAAAATTCTAAATTCGAAGAGATGGATAGATGATAACAGATGGACATTCACATAGCGCAAACAGACGGCACATTCTTTAGCCAGTCTGGTCCCATTCTTCTTTTTTGTTCTTCCTCTAAGTCTAATATTTCTTGTGTAAGTCGTATGTCTTCTAGATCCATTTGTTTTAGATTTTCACTCTGTTTTTGCATTTCGTTCAGTTCTTCTATTTGTTTATTTCTTATGTCTTCCCGAAGTAGAGATTTTTTTCATAAACCTTTTTAGCATCAGACTCAAAATAATATAAATCTTATACATACATACATTTGGTAATTCGAGTCAAATTGTCGTTACGAACAGCATGTTATAATTTCAAATAAATCATATGCGAATATGTCAAAAGTTGACATATGATATGTTATTTGATTCAGAGTGTCATTTTCTATCGAATAAAGTAAAAAAATACCAAGGGTGCCATTTAAAAATCAAAAGTTGTAGTCATTTATGTGTATGAAACAGATGTAATAGGGGGGTGTATTTAAAATAAAAATCTAAACCATTCAATTTAATCCTTATTTCCTTTTCATCTTTTCACAATGTCTTTTCGTATAAATATTTTTGCCTGCGTCATAACGATTCCTCCGCTTGATACGGTTTCCAGATATCCTTGGGGATGACAAGACATTGAGTTCTTCTAATTATCCATTTAACACTAAGCTCCTTATCTTGAGATCAACTCTCTTTAACAGACAATAATATAAATTTCTATCATTAGAAAATTTCACCTTAATATCAGTCAAGATTATATTTACTAGCAAAGTCAAAATAGGTTTCTAATCTCACTAGTCTTAAATACTGTTAGTACGCGGTAGTACAGCACCATGATCAAAATAAAAAATAATAAAAATACAATCCAACTCAAATAACAATTAATAAAACAACCTAGACCTCGGAGGAGGTCTTAGTGGACCTCTTTTTCTTTGCATCTCCATTATCTCTTTCTGTAAGCGCTCTTCTTCTTTCCTGACTCTTTCCAATTCTTCATCAATCTCTTTCAGTTTTAAATTCTCACTCTCTTTCTTTTTCGCTTTTTGTAAAGCTATGTCTTCTTCTAACATCCTTTTCTGTCTTTGCTTATCTTTCTGCTCATCTTCTTTCGACATTTCCATCGTACTCTTCGATTTTCTGAATCATTTCTTCGCGTTCCTTCAAAATATCTTCTTGTTTCTGTTTATTTTGATCGAGCTTATAGTTAATTTGTTCCTTAACCGTGTCCAGTACTTCCTTCATAAGCGACCTACGGCAAGATTCTTCTTTGTTCCATATTTCGAGTTGTTTTTCATAAACCGATTTGGTTCAGATTCAAATATAAACTCTAGATACTTTTGTCTGCACCGTTCTAACTCTTCTTGCTCTCGAACAATTTCCAGGAATTCTTGCAAGCCTTTCTTGATTTCTTGCTTTTTGATTGTGACGATCATGTAAAGATCTTCCAATTCTAGGCGTTTCATTTTGAGAATAAGCAAATTTTTGGATTAGAAGAGCCTTTTGCTTTAATTTTAGTTTGTGTTATTTTATGTCAAATAAGGCACATTCTTAACAAGTTTGGATTTTTCGTCTATATTTCTTGTTTACGTTGTATGTTTTCTGGTTCTGTTTGTTTTAGACATTCACTCTGTTTTCGCATGTCTTTCAGTTCTCCTATTTGTTTATGTCTTATGTCTTTCCAAAGTAGAGATTTTTTTTATAAACCTTTTTAGCATCAGACTCAAAATAATATAAACCCTACAATAAACTCTTGTGGTGGTTAGAAGCAGTGAGATTCATATGAGCCCACTCTTGCTTAAAACAAATACAATAGGGAAATAAAGCGCACAACAGTTAAAATTAAGGTTTTATTCGTAAAAAAAATAAACAATTATAGTCAAATATTGTTAGTACGCATTAGTACAGCACCATAATCAAAATAAAAAAATAATACAAATACAATTCAACTTAAATAACAACTAATAAAACAACCTAGACCTCGGAGGAGGTCTTAGTGGACCTCTTTTTCTTTGCATCGCCATTATCTCCTTCTGTAAGCGTTCTTCTTCTTTCCTGACTCTTTCTAATTCTTCATCGATCTCTTTCAATTTTAAATTCTCACTCTCTTTCTTTTTTGCTTTTTGTAAAGCTATGTCTTTTTCTAATATCTTTCTCTGTCTTTGCTTATCCTTCTGCTCTTCCTCTTTCAACATTTCCATCTCCTTATCGTACTCTTCAATTTTCTGAATCATTTCTTCGCGTTCTTTCAAAATATCTTCTTGTTTCTGTTTATTTTGATCGAGCTTATAGTTAATTTGTTCCTTAACCGTGTCCAGTACTTCCTTCATAAGCGACCTACGGCAAGATTCTTCCTTGTTCCATATTTCGAGCTGTTTCTCATAAACCGATTTGGCTTCAGATTCAAATATAAACTCTAGATACTTTTGCCTACATCGCTCTAACTCTTCTTGCTCTCTAACAATTTCAAGGAATTCCTGCAAGCCTTTTTTGATTTCTTGCTTTTTGATTTTGTCTAGGATAAGATCTTCTAATTCTAAGCGTTTCATTTTAAGAATAAGATCTTTCTCTTTAGCTAAAGATTCTTGAATTAGAAGAGCTTTTTGTTTTAATTTTAGTTTGTGTTGTTTTACGTTGTATAAGGCACATTCTTTAGCCAGTCTGGTCCTTTCTTCTTCTTTGGTTTCTTCCTCTAAGTTTAATATTTGTTGTTTACGTTGTATATCTTCTAGTTCTATTTGTTTTAGACTTTCACTCTGTTTTTGCATTTCTTTGAGGTCTTCTATTTGTTTATTTAAATTTTCCCTAAGTAGAGACTTTTTCTCTTTGATTTCAGCTTGTCGTTTTCCTTCTTTTAGCTGTTCTTGCTTCAGCCGTTCTTCTTGCTGTTTTATAAATAGTTTACGTTCATTTTCTTCCTTTTCTTTTTGCATTTTCTTCTCGATTTGTTGGTCTAACCAAGACAATTTCATATCGGCAATCTTATACTTGCTTTCGTACTGTCTTACTATGGGATTATTGTTTCTCCATTGATGGTATAACTTCAGTTCAGCTTCCCGTCTCTTCCTTTCTTCTTCTTTGGTTCGAAAACTACTGCTGATTTCTTTAAGGACCTCGATATCTTCTTCTTTTGATTTTCCCGGTTTATGTACAGCTTGGAGATTCTTCTTCACCATGAGCTCGACTTCGTAAGATTTCTCTTCTTCTTCTAACAGTTTCTTCAGGCGCGTTCTTCGTTTTTCTAATAGTTCCTCTTTGTCCCTTTTCGTCCTCATATCTTAAACAAAAAAAAACAACAAACGATAATACAATAATATTTAAAAAAAATATTATGGAGAGGTTAGAGGCATCTCTATATTTATGTAGTGTTTATGTACTAGGTGACAATCAGTGGAGCATCTAGAGATTGAGTCTAGGAGGGGTACGGCCAGTATACAGAGTGTTTCTAAAAACATGCGCCATTTCACGTGGGGATATTCCTCGCGTAAAAGTAAGATTTATTGTTCATATCAACATAGGCCCGAATTTGCTTTGTTTCATAGATACACCCCCCTGTAGTCTTATTTTTTTTTCGATTTATTATAATTTTCTTCCAAGTGCTTTTAATGGTTCGAATGAAATTTTGAGGGAAAAAGTTACTATATAAATGCTAAATATTTTAATTTTGAAAGAGTGTCTACAGATTCATAAGGGACGTGCATATGGGTTATCTATCACTGAAATAATTTTCGAAAAAAATGCCAATTAAAAGTTATATCTTATATAATAATAATAAATAAATAATAAATATTTTGTCGATTTCGATCTTCTTGATGAGATAAACACAATTTGATTAATCAGAATTAATAAAACTAAAATAAAAAAAATGGCGCCTGGGGGCACGTATAGCCGCCCATATTAAAATATGCTAATATCTCGAAAACTGCGACTTTAACTGATTTTGATGTTATTACAAATTTTGTTGCAGATATTATTCCTAATCTTAATTTGAAAACCGCGTTTCGCTAGCTACTGTAATTTTCGAGTTACGATTTTTTAAAAGTTTTAACCCCCTCTCATACCCCCTTACCAACCCCCCACCCCCACCAAAAACTAATGGCCAGATTCTCGGGTGCCACAGTATTTTTGTGCCAAATTTGGTTAAAATCGGTTCAGCGGTTTTTGAGTTATCGCGTTACAGACGGCAGACGGACAGACGGACGGACGGACGGACGGACGGACAGACAGACAGACAGACAGACAGAAACCATGAAAATATTTTGTATTTAGGTCATTTATGACCCAAATAACTCATTTTGAGTGAAATTAAAAAAATTTTTTTTGCCGATCTTAATAGCCTACCATACCTATTGGTAAAATGGTCGGCTAAAAAGTACACATAATTTTAAAAAGTTTTAACATCCTGTAACTTTAAAACTATGCATGTCCCATGTTTATAAGACCTTTTTTTTCATATATTTTTATGAAGAATCAAAGAGTACTTATTTAAAACTTTCGCAAGTTAATAATATTATTTTTTTAAAGGTTGCTATTATACTTGGATCAAGGCAAATTAGTAAAATTCAATTTATCTCTTCAAGGAGGCCGAAATCGACAAAATATCAAGAGACAACTTTTAATCGACATTAAACGACTTACGCTATTTCGCAAATTAAGATAAAAAAAAGTCAGTGGCGTACATGCGTACATGCTTTTTTTATAAAAATATTCCAGTAATAACCTATATGCACGTCCCAGGTGTCGACACTTTTTAGTAGCATTAAAATATGTCGCATTTATAGTAACTTTTACGCTATTTCTAGCGATGGGAACTATCGAATGAATTAGACTATCGAATGGTTAATGAATGAATGATTTCAACTATCGAATTGTTTTATTCGAATAAAATCATTCATTCATTTGTATACTAAAGCATATGTGACAACCTCGCCGTGCGACTAAATGGTTATCGTTGAGCCACGACTATCGAATGCTTTTGATAAATGAAATTTAGTATTCGTTTGATTTTTGTATGCGTCAGTGCATTATTAGTTCTTCCAAATTTTTATAACTTCACCGTATAAATACTGTGCTATTTTTGCGTTTACTAAAATAGTTAAAATACTAAAATAGTAGTTATTTTTTAATTTTATTTATTGACGATTGTGTGCATGTGCAGGTGGTCAAAATTTTTCCGAAAAGTTGTGTGGTTTTCCGTAGTCCGATCTTTCAATTATTTAATTTTATATGGTATATGGTCTATTTTTTAATGGGAAATTTTGAGAAGTAGCAATTTTTAAGAGAGATGAGATGAACTTAAATTAATTTTAAAAGTACATATTTGTATTTTAGATGTTTTAATAATATGAATTAGTTGAACTTAATAATCATATTAAAGTAATGTGGTTAAGTAAATGGTTATCGAACTCAAACTATGGGGTGAGAAAATTAAAATGAAAGTTTTACACGTGCCAATTTAAAAAAAAAGTTAACGATGTTTGTATTTTGTTTATGCTAATTCTCTTACATGTAGTTTTTGCGAAGAAATATTTCATTTATTTTTTAAAGTAAATGCCAGTAAAAGTAAATATAATTTTTAAATAGTAATATAAAGCACCTAATATAAATAATTTGATTTCTAATTTTTAATTTATATTTTCCTTCCATTACACTGCATGCTTAGAAAATTAATAAATGTTTATATTTTATGATTTTAAAATTTGTTGTTAATATAACAAATTAGTTCTGTAATTATTATTATTTAATAAACCAACGTTGCCACACACAAAAAATTTAGAGACTATATTATTTTTAAATAGGATCTAATATAAATAATTTTGACATCTAATTTGTTGTTTGCTACTACTTAAAAAAATATTTATATTAAATGATTTTAAATTTTGTTGTTAATAGGCATAACAAATTATTACTGTTATTATTATTTATTAAACCAGTATTTGCTTAAAAACATTAAAAATAATTTTCCTGCATCCAAAATAACAAGTATTATTGCAGTGTAACAACAGAATATTAATAAAAAAATGCAGAATATATAGACATAATATCCCTAACTAACTAAAGCCAAACAATAATATTCTTTGCTAATATCAACTAATACCAAAATATGGCAACAGCGCCCTTTATAATGTATTTTCTGTGTAAATACTAGCACCTCAATAAAAAAAATAATGTGTCCTTATCTATATCTGACTCCGCAAAAAATCAAAGATGCCGGCTTCTTTCATAGCATTGCCACCGACCGCTGTCGGGTTTCTCGGAAAGAAACTTACGTCGCCAGGCGACAACTAAAATTCAGTTAATATTTTATTATAATCGATCCTGACGAATAAATGAATTTCATAAATGAATGAATTTTATAAATGAATGGTTTTTGCTGCCGAATTACTAGAATACAATATTTCAAGGCAGATGACGGATCTATTCGATAATTTTTATTCGAATAGTTTTCAACGAATGTTTTCTTACTAACTATCGAATTATTCGAATGAATTGCAACTATCGAATGTTTCGATAGTATTCATTCGATAGTTCCCACTACTAGCTATTTCGCAAATTAAGATAAAAAAGTCAGTGGCGTACATGCGTACATGCTTTTTTTATAAAAATATTCCAGTAATAACCTATATGCACGTCCCAGGTGTCGACACTTTTTAGTAGCATTAAAATATGTCGCATTTATAGTAACTTTTACCCTCAAAATTTCATTCGAATCGCTAAAAGTACTTGGAAGAAAATTATAATAAATCGAAAAAATGAACGTTTTAACCCCCTGTACGTACGAAACAAAGCAGAATCGGACCTATGCAAATATAAAATATAAATATTTTTGCGTGAGGAATCTCCCCACGAACCCCTACCCTGTAAGAATATATTTTAGCGAATTTTTCTAAAATGTCACTTAAGGCATAAAAGAGGGAACCAGAACCACTAAACTTACCGCAGAGCATTTTGTTGTTATCCTCGTAGTATCTAGGCGAAGTCCATTCCTCAAATTTGGTGTTGATTTTGCCCCAGTGCTTGTAGTAATCTACAGCTCCGGTCCACATTTGTTGATGGCGAAAATCCCGTTCCCTTCTGCTAATAATGTCGTTTTCGACTTTGGTCCTATGACGGCCCCTTTCTTTGGGGGGCCCATCGCCCATCAGCATCATCTGAAAATATTTTGCACATTTACCACAGAGATAAGAACAAATTAATAGATACACTGTTTATGTTTCAAACTGAATTCAATCAGTTGAAAATTATGTTAAGAAAAATGATACAAAAATACGTATGAAATAGTTTGAGGTTTTACATCATTTGTTGGAAGATATTTCCTAATTTAACATACAATAATTATTGAATTTTGTTTGTCATACTTTAATGCTCATTTAGAAAGGGTGTTCACAGTGATCAATAAGTTGTAGAGATGTACAGAAAAGATACAATTATCTCACCTTTTTTAAAATGTACGGTAATGCAGTATATGACTGCATGTGTAAATTTTCAACAATAATGGGATTATTTTTAAATGTAAGAAACAATGATTCAATAATGACATAAATAAAAATTAAACTTACATTGCGCTTATTTTTATAAACTTACGCTTATAACGATATCACGTAGAAGTCTGTCTAACGAGTCAAAGAAGATTTCGCCAGACGTCATCCAATCGATGACAGAAAATACAATTTACCTGTTCATTAATATGACAGACAAAAACTGTCACTGTCATGTATCTCTCGTTGGCCCAATGACTAAAGAATACAAGAACATGTAGCACCCATATACAGGCTGCAGCAGAATTTGTTACGTTAGACGCCATTTATTTGATGGCAACGAATGAGTCATCAGCGACAATTTTAGCGATTTTTAATAGCTTGTGTGTAGTGAACTTTTTATAAACTTTATTACAATGGTGATTAGTTGTTCATCTTTCAAATGTAAAAGCCGCAGCGATAAGAAAGAGCCAGGAGTGACGTTTCATACGTAAATAAACAGTCTACACCACCTTTTTAGCGTTTCTTATTGAATTCAATAATGATTTTTCTGATATTATGTACTTGATGTGTGCTATACGTCGATACTAGTTTTGTACCTTTTGTATTTTAATACGTTTTTTTCGTAATTAATTAGTATCATACCACCTTATACACTATAGGCGTAGTCAAAACATTTATCAAAAAATTTAAATATCTCTTCAAACAGCTAGGTTAAGAAAAATATGTGCCACGGCACTGTTTGGTGACATGGTAACAATTTGCTCTCGGGTGTTATTTGCCCTTGGATTCTTTAGTCATTGCGTTGGACAGACTCACAAAACATCCCCCTTTAGAACTTTTTCTTTAAACGCCATAAACGGGAATAAAAGACTGGATCCATATCCATTTGAGTATTCATATAAACTCATGGTACTTGTTCACTGTCTGTGGTCATGTATCACGGGCAGAGGGTGGGGTGGGTCTTAGATTAAACGCCTGGACCAAGAGGAGACAACCTCACCAAAAACCTAAATCTTATGATGGCGGGACCTGGTCAAAGGGAAGAAGACTAACCCTTGTATCATCAGCTTTGCCACAATTCTAATGTAAGGAGGTCGAGTTGGCGAGTCATCAACTCGAGGAAGGAGGGCCATGGCCAGGTCCTCAGGAGACAAGTTCCTCGATTGTGAAGGGCACGAAGGGCTAAACCCCAACCGTGGAACGGTGTATACACTCGTAGAGGTAATGTCCACTTCTCGGGGGATGGAACAGTTGTTGTCAGAGGAGGATAGGAAATACCCTGTCCCTCTACGACAGGAAGATCCACATGTATGATGATTTATCACTCAAGAAAGGGGGAGGAAATAGATCTTTAAGGTCGCGGTGATTAACCCCCCTTCCACTCATTCTACAATCTACATGGTACATGTATCTTGTTTATACCACTAAAGAGTCCTTTTTCAAAGGTATTATTTCAATCTTGCGCGATTATTTTTTTTAGCAAACCCCTGATCAATGTAGAAGAGTGGCATTAAAAAATTAAAAAGTTCTGTGCAAAAACTGTAAAAACCAACGAGAGAGCATGTTCGTTTTTTCATTCTACATTTAAAAGAACAATAATATACAGGGTGTTATGGTTGAAAAAAATCAGTCATTATAAATATTGCAATTTTGGCCACGCCGTAAAAATATGATAAGCCATGTGCAGGTTTTGACAATCTGAAGAAGAAATGGCACAAGGGAGAGCACAGCACATTTTATGTCAATGTCAAAATATTTTAATGTAATAATTGATAAAATTTCAATATAAATAATGAAATCATCAGTACACAAATTAATAGTTACCCCGATGATATATTTCATAAAATATGTCTTTGCGTAAAAATATTTTTTTTTTATTTTCACATCAATGTTATACATACATAACATAAAATAGTAAAATGATACAACAAACAAATTTATATTGTTAAAAATAAATCAGTGTTCTAATTATTAGTTGTTTAAATGTGCAAAATATTTTCTTGATCAGTGTGGTGCGACATAAGCTAAGGTTATGGAATGATACTAAAAAATATTACTTATAAGTAAATTAGTAATTAATAAAATATTATTTATTCATTTATTTATTACAAGCTTAACAGAAATACATTCCAATTACAAAGCAGGTACAGATAATTACTAATGATACAAAAAATCTCAATAATTAAATTTCAAATAAAGATACAAGATGCCAAATTAAAATAATATCAAAAAATTAAAATACAGTACAACAAAATCAGTAGGTATATAATATCACCGAGAGTGTTGGTACTTATAATAGAATAGTTCTTAGTTCATTCTTAAATCTAGACAGGTTTGCATTAAAATTATCACAGTTAGAGAATACGTATATAATATAATACTGTATATTACAATGACTAAAGAATATATGGACATGTAACGCCCCTAACGGGCTGCAGCAGAATTTGTGACCTTTTTTTTGTTTTGGTGGCAAACAATGAGTCATCATTTGGTCACCAGCGACAATTTTAGCGATTTTTAATAGTTTGTGTGTAGTAAACTTTGTATAAACTTTATTACAATGGTGATTAGTTGTTCAGCTTTCAAGTGTAAAAGCAGCAGCGATAAGAAAGAGCCAGGAGTTACGTTTCATAGGTAAATAAACAGTCCACTCCAACTTTTTAGCGCTTTCTTATTGAATTCGATAATTATTCTTCAATTTCAATTAACATCTATATGTACTTGATATGTGCTATACGTCGATACTAGTTTTGTACCTTTTGTTTTAATACGTTTTTTTCGTAATTAATTAGGATGATACACCATAGGCGTAGTCAAAACAATTATCAAAAAATATAAATATTGCTTCAAACAGCTAGGTTAAGAAAAATATGTGCCACGGCACTGTTTGGTGACAGCGTCACAATTTGCTCTCGGGTGTTATTTGTCTTTGGATTCTTTAGTCATTGGTATATTATATATTTATTATATATACCTTTTAAACAGAGTAACACTATACGTATAAGCATACTTACTTGCTTGTTTTTTTATAATATAGTGTATTATTATTTGATTGGACCTAGACGGTTTGGGTAAAAACAAGGACAATCCAATTCATCTCAATAGCTTTTTTGTTGGAATTTTCACTTTTAAAGAAGACAGTAACTATTTACAAGAATTTTAGCATTAAAAACATGTCTTTGGTCACAGAATAAGGAACAATTATTTTTTTACAGTGTTAATTCTGTTTGTAATGTTACTGTCATTGAAAAGTCTTACTATTATTGTTTGTCAGCAGCTGCTCTAGCAAAGAAGATTTTATGTCCAGAAGTTATACCGGCTATTGTTGTTCCGAAAGATGGTAGAGGTCAACTTCTGGTCTTAAAACCATCAATGCTAAAGTAAATGCTAAGAAACCACAATAGAATGACTTTTCAATGTCTGTTGTTTAGGAACTTAGGATAAGCAAAGGAATGCTTGTAGTGTTAAAATTTGTGAGTCGTTATGCATTTTTCAAAAGAGAATATCTCCAACAAAAAAACTACTTAGGTAAATCAAGAAAAACAAACTACCCAGAAACAAAGCACCTTAATCATGAAGTGTATTCCTTACTTTGTGAAGTAATTTTGCAAAAAAAGATATCAAATTTATTCATTCAATAATATTTTTTATATGACGGAACAAACTTGATGAATATCATTGGTAATATTATACAATATGATTATTGCTGAAAAAAACGGCGTCAGTGATGGCTATGAAATGAAGATTGCTGTCATTTTATATGTAAAAACTTGTTAAAAAAATGGGGGCTGTCATCGATCATCATTTCCAAGCTAACTAGAAGCCGGTTTTTCTTTCGATCCTACGGTATACATAAGAAAGCAGTAAATCATAACTGACCAGCACTAATAAGTTGAGACTGTCAAAAAAGTAAAGAAACTGCTAGCAATTGAAGGGGCTGCAATAACCAGGCAGCTCCATTTTTTTACAGAAATTATATATTTACTGAATTGCCGCCGTTTAAAAAAATAGTTCGATCGTTCTTTGCAACAATCAGGTATCTTCATTCAATAATACATAAATGGCAACATTATTTGGAGCTGCCTTGTTTCCGGTTGTAGCAAGAACAGTGCAGCTCTTTGAGCTCCCTACTTTGGCTAGAAGAATTTATTAAAATGGAACTGTCTGGTTATTGCAGCCACCCTTCAATTATCAAGCTTGCATGATGCACTTATCAAAACATACATACAAACATTATTAATATTATTAACTAAGTTTAAAGATAAAATTAACATCAGTTTAAATTATCTTGTAATTAAAAATAATATAAACAACAATTTAGAACTATTTTTAAGATAACCCCAATTTATGTGTAACCGAAATTCGTAATTCTATTTGCACAAGATAATATTCTTCGACAATGATCTGATATATCAAGAACTTTATCTAATAATAATTATTTTATAAGAAATATACAGTACCGGCCAAAAGTGGAGAAACTTTTTAAATTTATTTGCGGCCGTTTTACAAGAACGAAAATGTTTATAAAGCATATATATATTTATACATAGGATAACTGTCTCATAAAAATACAAACAAGATTTTTTTAGAAAAAGCATTTATTAAATTTTGAAAAAATTAAACTAATTTCTATGAGGACAAAAATGGAGAAACTGATATTTTTTATACAT